TGAGTGATTTCCACACAATTCAATGTAAGCCCTGCTAACAATTAACAGCCCGAGCCTCTACCTTTTCAGCATCAACACTCCTCAGCAACACCAGCGCTCCCTCACTAGTATGGAGCAGTTCTGAGGCCTCTCATGCACGATCCGATGCGGCCTCGATTCGAACCCAATCAACATGGCAGGATAACGCAGGCGACGTTCCCTCGATTCACGAAGGTGAGATCGGTAAAGTTGCCGATCGCACATGGCTCGACTCGCCCAATCTCATGCAGTCACCCATCCCTTCATGCGATGTCACCTCTCACCCGTCGCCCCGGCATGTCACACCAACCTCTAAGAAATATCAGTGCCCCATGTGCTTCTTGGACAACAACCCCGTTGGTTTCGGCAGGAAAAGTGATTTCAAGAAGCATCTTTACAATTTCCACGGTGCTGATGTGACTTGGCTTTGCAAGACCAAGGGCTGCCATCTCTCTTTCGCTACTGAGCGAGCCTACAGCACTCACGCCAAGGAGACACACCGCATGGACGCTCTCCCTAACAGCACTGCAAAGACAGAGTTGTGCCCTCAGGTTGTCTTTGGTTGTGGATTTGCTAGCTGCAAGGACCGTGTCTTTGAGGCTTCTTCCAACGACCAGGCTTCATCTAGCCGCGACAAGTACTTTGAGCATATCGCCAAGCACTTTGAGGATGGCTTTGATGTGAACAACTGGGAGTACAAGGTTCAAGTCCACAATCTCATGCGTCAGTCCAAGGTCAAGTCTGTTTTCAAGACCTGCATCTGGCCCAAGGAGAAGAGAATGCAACTCACATGGCGCCCTCGCTCCTCCGGGGATCTCAAGCGTATGCTTGAGGCCCGCCATCTCGGTGAGGATATCTCAACACTTGTGCGTCTTGCTTTCATCCTGGGCACATCGCCTTTCACCAGCCCTACTACACCGCCACCAAGCGAGATTGACTTGCAGTTCTCTCTGCCCTTCCGATCTCAATGCTTGATGGACACTGTTGGCCATGCTGATGGTGCTCAATCCACGACGGCTGAGACCAGTGAGACCAACACACCCATGGTCACTGTGACGAAGCAGGCTCCTCAAACACCGGAGGCACCTTCGTTCCCTGCCCGACGCATCAAGCAGGAGACTCGACCCACGACACCAATGGACGGTCTTCCTGAGCCTATGGTTCACGATGATCTCACTGCTGGCCCTCATCCTGGAACACCGTTCCCCATTCCTAACGAGCATGTCTGGCCAGTGGACGCACCCAAGTTTGCTCCTGACCAGATGAACACCTTTGCTGATGCTTCCATGACCTACATCCTGCCTGGTCAAGAGCTTCCTCAGCAACAATGGGACATGACTGGCATGCAACAGCACTTCCCTCAACAAGACACTGTCATGTCCAACGTCTACATGCCTCCCCAACAACCTGTAGCTGCTCGCCCTGCTACACCTATTCCCTCAAAGCGACCTGGATCTTGGGGCAAGAGACTAAGCCTTGAAAACTTGCGCCCTAAGAAGAAGACAAGCGTGTATGGAAGCCCTGCTTCCGAGCACGAGGCTGTCCCTCCTGTGCCAGCCATGTATGCCGAGATGATTCCCACGTCTATGCCGGCGGGTTACGAACTGCCAATGCGAATGGGCCACCCTCAACAAGGGTACACATCAAACCCTGGCTTTATGCCCCAGGCTCAACAGCAACAGTTCGGCTCACCCACGACATTTTACTTGGATGACGGGGACATGAGACTATAAGGCGTTTTTTAATCTCGGAACGGAAAAGCATTCTTTGAGCATCATGATTTCATTTATTCTCTTTTTCTCAAACTCTGCATTACCATATATCTGTACTAATAATCACCCCTGAAGAGGAGGACGAGGAACATAACGACAGGATACCCATCCTCCACTATCTGACGAACTTTCTCTTGTTACACATTTCCTTTTTGTCTGTCCTGGATATACCAGGACAACCACATACCTATTTCCTTTTCTTGTCTTTTCTTGATTGTCATTGTTAGTCATTTGTTTGCTTTGAGATACCACGGTGTTGAAGAAGGATGGAATGAGATGAGACGGGAAACCAAAGTCATGGAACGCTGCATAGGGCACAGAATTGTTTAACTGCAGCATGTTTTTGTTTTCTCTGTTGAATATTGCATCTTTCGGGCGGTTTTATGCGTGGATTACTATACCGGGATTGGCAGATACCCTTGTGTGAGGCCAGCAAGCAATTGAGGATATTTGCTCTGGCGGGATACATATGAATAGATAGGGAAGGAAGGAAGCATGTCAGCGAGATATATGAATTAATAGAATCTTGAAGAATATCTGTTGTGTTTTTCGCATGAGTGAAGTCTGGGGCTGTATTGACTGGCCGCACAACCAAACAATATGTTGGTATCTGGACTAGAGTGAATGGCAATGCTTATGCCTTGCTGAAACTCATGTACTGTGTCGATTCGATGTTGCGGCCATGCCTTGTTGTTAAATACTGCCACTGTCAATGGCACGCGTGTCCCGGGATGACTGAATTGAGAATTATGATCGACAGCCGTCCATTTCAATGTAACAGTCTCAACAGCACAGGCTTTGTACACCGAATTGTTATCAGAACAAAGCAGCTGAAGCAACACTTGATGCCGCTTCCCACAACGGAGCCCCCTCGACTTCCTAGGAAGCAGAACTCGGTCGTATCTTAGTCTAGAAAACTTATGGTATAGGACATTTCGCACGAAATAACGAATGGGAAGTCTAATACAGGCTAGAACTTGATGAACTGGGGTTGGTGTGGGACAGCCCTGCATGTTATCTAGTCGCATGTGGTGATCGCCTCCCAAAGTTATTGACAGCATCATGCTCCTCTACGAGGTCGAAAAAAAAAGACTTGGGACCTCTATCCTAGGGGGTGAAAAGACTTAGGTAAATTTAGTATAGACTTAGTGGGACTTTAGGTGAGTTATGCCCAGTATGCTAGCTTGATGTCAGAAGTTTCATCGCCCCATGAATCTCACGAAGTTCTCGTCAAGATGGTGAAAGGTCAAAGCTGCGCCGTTAGGGAAGAAGATATCTGCAGAGGGGGAAATTGAGATCAAATAATCCACGGCAATCTTGATAATAAAGTTTATATGAGAAATGGTAATGTACTGGCCGAGTGACAGTTGCCAGGGTCAAGGTATGTTAGCGAGGCGGGAGCATCGTGAAAATAATAGGGCAATTAACAGTAAAGTCACAGATCACTGACAAAGGAAAGAAGCCACAGGGAACTTCGTCACCCCAAAGCCTTTCTTTTCTTGGGGGTCTGTAAGGTGGCAGGATTACGGTTTGGTTTGTGAGTCACAGCAGCCACGAGGCGTGGCTCAGCAGAGGGACGACGTTCGTGACCGTGAACTCTGGTGATGAATCGCAGGCTGCATCTATGGGAAAATAAGGATGTGGTGAAAATGCAGTACAATATTCTGTGGCAGAAGTCGCTTTTGGTTGTGCTGTTTGGACTGGCTGATTGGCATCGCAACCCTTGACGTCCAACGGGTGGTGGTGGGAGCGAGATAAGAAGCCTCTGGCGACACTAGAGGTTATGATATGAGCAAAAAGAAGTCTACAGATTGATAAAAAGGTCTGAAAGGATACAGAATTCAGATAGAACGAAAGGGAGGTCATCGGTGAATGGTATTCGCAGTGCGCCTTGAAGCATCCAAAGTGCGAAGAGCCAAGGTTGAATGACAGTAGACTCGAGCCTTCGAGCAAAATGCAAAGACGCAGTTCCATGTCAAATGTGATCATTTTGGCGAATTGGTGACCGAGTTACACAGTCGTCGTCGTTGAGGGATGCTGTGGATAGGAACACCAAGGCAAGAGATCATCCATGCAATGTCGATCACGATGTAGAGACAGACAGAACGTTTCACAGTTTGCTAGAGGCATGACCTATGGTAGAATAACCCAATAAACAAAAAAGTCTGGCATGAAGGCGTGCTGTGTTTGTTCATGGGACTGAGTTTACGTGAATGGGGTGCCTACATATGCTGATTCAAAACGGAGCCTTTCACCAACAAGGCTCAAGCAAAGCAGCTTGGCGCAGTGGAAGCGCGGTATGTTTCTTCTCCACTATGTGACTCAACGACAGAGTACTAACATATCCCAGCCGGGCTCATAACCCGGAGGTCACTGGATCGAAACCAGTAGCTGCTATGAAGCATTTCCTTTTTTGTAATTTCTTTGTTCTGAGATTTTTGACTGTTGGTTGACGCCAAAAACTAGTGCCGGGCTGTATTGGCTGTGAAACCCCCGGTTGGCAACTTTTATTTTTTCAAGGCCTATGCCAAGCATAAGCGGAATCCCCGAGCTCTCCAATGACTGCCTATGACATGGCTGATTCCGCGATATGAGTTCTTGATATCTCAAATCGATCTTGTGTGCCGGGTTCGGCACGGCGCAAGAAGCGAAGTGGATCCCCGGCGCCGGAACAGAAAGCCGGCCCGAAAATGTACGGCGGCCTTGGATCTGTCTGCGACAACTTGTGAATGCAACATGAGCTTGGCTACGATTTAGGCGATCTCTTTATTAAAGTGAAACACTGTAAATATAAAGTGATTTACGCTTAGGACTCCCACTATAAGCGCCTTCAAACTTTAATCAAGACTCTGTGGATAGGTGTCTTGGGTATAAGAACATTGGATCATCTATACGCCAGCTGCTCTATTTTATTATCACCAGCTTTAAAAAACATCTTTAGAGGCCAGGAAAAACAAATATAGACTTTCTCTAAGTAAAAATATACCCAATCTCATTTATTAACATAACCCTATTCCTCAAAGTGTTGGGGAAATCGCGTGACTCAAAATCAGTAAGTGGATCCAAGCGCAAACCTGTGATCTATGTTCTCCAAACTTCAAACCCTTGCAACTCCATCAAAACGCACCTGATCAACACGAAAACTATTGCAATCGATTCGTCTCGACTCAAAGATTCAAATAAAGATTTGAAATCAGCAAAAAAAACAAACTCCTCGTACGAGACTCGAACTCGTAACTTTCAGATCTCGATCATTTGTAAAAGTCTGACACGCTAACCAATTGCGTCAACGAGGATGCTTGATTTGTTGGAATGTCATCCCCCAGATCGTACTCTGTAAGCGCTTGTTTTTGCCGTGGGAGTAAACTTGTCCTCGGATGTGACATCTAAGCAAACAAACATTTGAATAGCGGCCAATCAGGCTCATGAAACACGGTCTTGTATTCAGAACTAAACGGAAAGTAACTCTATTATGACCATAAAGACTGCAAAATGTAACACATTCGCCATGTACTCTGGTACAAAGGGGCAGGCCATGATGCACTCAACGTTGCTGCGCATGAGTCACCCGACAACAACATATCACGCAGCTTGAGATGGTTACCGTTGATGCTTGCTTATTGTCAGAATGGGCACCCGGCGGCGAAGCCTCCGGGGAAACCGCTCCGAAGGCTCCGACGGCTGCAGCCAATCAGAGCGCGCCACAGAGAGAATACAGAGGGATCCAATTCAGATCCCTGAAGCAAGAAGATAGACAATACATCATCATATCGCTTCCAATTGCACACTTATCTTCGCTTGGCCTTCAATATTTCCTTGGTATACAGTGTTGCTTATTATGCCTTTTATTAAATACTTTAGTCCTTTATTACTTAAGAGATTTAACCTAAATAATTACTATTAAATAAATAACCTATATTTAATAGGTACTTATAATCTATTTATTAGTCTATCTCTAATAAATAGTAGCTTGTATATAGTAGATAAGAAGTAGTACTAATTACTAGGAGGTAAGCTAAAGTATATTTAGAATAGTTTTATTATTAGTACCTATTAATATCCTTTTTAAATTTAACTAAGATTTATTTAATCCCTATAAAGGGCAAATATAAATTAGACCTTATATTATAAAAGCTTACCTCTATATATATCTACTTAATTATCTTACTTATTGCCTTAATAATAATTTAATCTTTATATATATAAGAATATCCTTATACCTAATATTATAATAAATAATATCCTTATTAGAAGTTCTACTAATTACTCTTATAATAATTTATTATTATAGAGTTTAAGCTATTTATATAATATTTATTAAGGGCGTATTAATATTTAGCTATAATTACTAAGTAATAATTATTACTATTATTAAAAAATATATATTATTATATACTCTAATAATTACTTAAAAATAATTAAATTATACTAATATATAATTAATAATTAATAACTATTTATTATTACTTATTATATAAATATAATAATATTAATTCACTTATAATACTACCTAGCTAATAGTTAATATTATTTATTATTATTTAGTACATAAATAAGATAATAGTAATTTATTTATAATATTACCATACTTATAATAACTTTAAGCCTAATAATATAATAAACTTATATTACTTCTTAAGCTATAAATTCTAGCCTTCCCTTTCTTATCTCTTCTCTTCTTTTCTCTCTTATTATTAACTAATATCTTCTCTTCTATTAATTAATTATCTTTAAATTAAACTTCCTTAATTATCCTTTTATTACTTAATCTTTTATACCTACCTACTCTACGGCCTATTAATATTATCGGCATGGCTTCGCAAGGCTCAAGCTCCGCCCCTCCTAGGGATGTTTATGCCTGTGAAGTATCTGAAGACTGGGATCCCATTGCTCTCAGAGCAACACTTCCTCGTGGACTCACTCCATCTCTGAAGGTCAAGAAAGGTGACAATGTCTGGGCCTACCACACAAACCAGAGTTATAGCTATATCCATCTTCCTACCGGACACCCACCTCAGAGGTAACGTCACCATCTTGTTTCTATGTGAACTACTGTTTCTAATTATGTTAGGTTGGGTACCTCTCAGAATTCTGAAGAAGGGCGCAATCCGGGTCGAAGACTTACCCATCGAACTCCCCGCATAGGTCCGTAATCTGGGACAGAGCGCAGCGAGACCTCAGAGCGATAATTCTGCCAATGTTCTGCAGAAGACCCTTCGGTGTCTTTGGCGTAAGATCATTAGCGAACAGGCGCTCATCAAGGAAGTGATTCCCGGCATGAATGAACAGAGCCAGAGCGTGCTCTTCAACAATACCACAAGCGCATATGCCGATGTAGTCTACAAGTGTGAGTCTGAGACTTTGCCTCATTCTAATCCTCCAGCCCTGAGCTAACAGTTCTATCAGGTATCACTCCGCAAGCTCGTAACATGATGGCCACCAGCAATTTCGCTATTGAACAACTGATGTCTTTGCAGCCAGTCTCCAAGTCTTGGCCTAAGGAAGCTGGAGTTTATATCATCATCTATCAAGGCTTTGGTGGCCGCAAGTCTGGAAACGTAACCTATTAAACGGCCATTTACGTCGGACAGACTGTTCAGTTTCAAAAGCGCAATGATGCACACATCAGAGATGCGGGCATCAAGAACTCCACGCATTACAGCCTTGCCAAAAAGGCCAAGAAGATGGTGATAATACCTCTCCTCTTACAAACAGAGAGCGCCGTTCCCCCGTTTTTCCTTGACATTGCAGAATTCTCTTTCGTATGCCTTTTTCGAAGCTGGTATGCGGCTCTCTTCAAACCGCGCGACCCTGAGCTCCTCGGAACCTATACTACTGACTACGACGCATGCGTAGTCTTTTCTCGCATTATGCGAGATGTATCTGCCGAGACAGGCTGGAATCTGGCTCGCACCTACGGCTTGAACTGGAATACTCCAGTTCTGAGGCCCCCCAAGGTTGACCAGCCATGGGTTTCGTGGTACGAAGAGGAGCTTAAGATGTACAAGTATCGTATTTGGCGTACAATCTTCCTGCAACCAGACAAGGCTCACATCCGATGGCACGGCAGGAAGGAGCTCGGTATCCCTCTAGAAGTCGCCCAAGATGCCGGTTTTGTGAACGGCCAGTCAGTCCATCTTGTAGTTGAGATCTGAAAAAGTGGCGACGAATATCTCACACACCCTTTCCGCTTTGTCCGTCTCCCGCCCAAGGTAGGTCGCAATACGGAGCTTGAAAAGCTCAGATCCGTCGCTGTCAAGATCCAGTGGCTTCCTGAGGGGAAAAGGCAATAGAAGGAGTACTATCTCAAACGATCCAGACTCTGGCAACCACTCAGCAAGACCAACCCCGTTTTGCACATCTACCGCACCGGCCTTATAATACTTTGCGACATGGAAAAGACCAACTATACCGGAGGTCCAGAATGGTTGCATAACGTCTTGCCAACGGGTATCCAGTTCCTTCGATACAACAATCTGGAGCAGAAGCAAGTAGTTGAGATGGTTCCGCCGCGAGTCGTTCCGTGGCCAGAGGACAACACAATGGAAAGGAACAAACAGAGACTGCTTGAACTGTTCCCCCGGGCATCAAACCCCGATACTATTATAGGACCACGACCTCCGCAGGGATTTTTCACCAAGAACTGCAAGTCATGTGATATATGCCTTTTATAATAGACTATAAGTTTTAATTACTAGCTTCTTATAATTAATATAAATTAATATATTATATAAACTACTGCCTATAAGTATAATCCTACTAATAACTTATATTAGTATTATTAACCCCTAAATTGCCTTTATATATAGTCTAGAGTAGGGTAAGATATTATAGATTTATTTATTTATAGTAAGAGCCTGGAGGAACTTGGTATTATAGTAGACCTTTCCTGAGATATAGGTTTAATAATCGGTCTAATAGCAGAGCCTCCCTTTGATCCTGATATCGAGGGCATGGAGTATAAAGATCAGCAGGACTGATTGACGAATAGAGTTAGCTGTGGCTGCTGGCGGCACTCTGAAGGAGCTGATAGTGTCGGACTTGATTACGGGCTTTTGCTTTTTTAAAACCTTTTCGGCACTTATTGCTCTTAATTACTATAGTTTAGAAGAAAGGATAGTAATAAGTATGGCTATGTTATTGTTTTCTGAATTATATCTTTTATTATTATTATTTACTACCTGCTTTCATACATAAGATAATAGAGGATATTACTATAAGACTTTATTATAGAATTCTTTAATATTTTATTATTATTTTAATTTAATTTAATTATTACTAAGTATTTATTTACTTTAGGTTACCTTTAAGTTAAATATATCTAGCTTATTTAATTTTAAGTAATTATTATATAATAATATTATTAATAGCTTTATTATATACTTTTCTTATACCTCTTATATTTAACTTAATACTAAAAGTATAAAAAATATATTTCTTAAAAATACTTTCTTTTACTTAATACTTATTATTATATTTAATATCTTATAATAAAGTAATAATATTTATTATTAGATTTATATAAATAAGTAAAGGATTATAATATATATATTTATATCTATTAGCTATTAATCTATTGGGTATTTAATTTATATTTAATAATCTAGGAATATCTAGCTTAATTATATATATTATCTTTATATAGTTCTGGCCATCTAGCAAAGAAGTATATCTCCTAATCTTATAGCAGTTAAAGGGACGTTTTATTTACTCAAATTACAATAGTTTCAGAGATAATTAAAGAAGTATAAATATATCTCTGTTGACTTCTCTCACAATCCCCACCGTTGCAGTTGGCATATGTGTAGCCGGAATGTCCTATATGAGATAAGAAAGAGTCTGTGGCCAAGCCTCTGACACAACTTCGGGCTGGATCTGGCCAATGGGCATATAAGCACGCCCATCGGGTGGCGGTTTGTCTTCTCGGATATATATTCCTCGCGACTACTGGCGCGCATCGGATATATTACGGAATATTATATAATTCTAACTTTAGACGTTTGCTGGCCAATTAAGCATAAAGTAGACCACCCCTCTTGATGCGAAGCTTCGGTGCAGGTAGATCGACTAACCCGACATGGTGCACGTTAATAACTATTATAGCAAGATACGGATAAGTTGGTAACCATATAAATTTATTTAGGTTAACCAAGTATCTCATAGATGAATGCTGCTAATTTCGCAGTATTATGCCAGTCCGAAGATATTGGTCAAAGAGTTTCACCTTGACTCCAGGTCTTGCACCATTGAATGCCATCCTAACGTGTTGTAAGCACTCTTGTCTATTTGATGTTGT